TCAAAAAATGTACACTTTAAAGTCCTATCTAGTATCCTTACCAAAATGTCGCCAAATACCTTTTATATATTCCAAACCCTCAGGAATAAGGAACAATATTCAAAAATTAAGCTGATTATTTATTTAGGGCTGTTTGTCTTCGCTGGCCTTTGGAATATTTTTCACTTGCTAGGATTTTTGTTAAAGACAGGACTACCGACTTATGTTGCAAAATGGAGAAAGTGCAATGGCGCAACCTGAACTTGAAGTTCGGCAAAAGGAAATAGATTGTGGCTATCCTGTTGAGGGGTAGTGGGTATTTGGAACTGTGGAAAGAGGGTCTAGGAGATTATTTTTTAATGGCAGTGCATGATAGAAGTAGGGATTTGTGATTTTATGTATTTGTGAACCATAGTATAAATTTTCTGGATAGTGTGTCTGGCTGTCATGTAAATACGATAGTGATTGTGTGGCGGCATGTTAAAGGCGGTATGAAATTTATATTTCTGCTATTCGAAAACGCATTAATTCATGGTAAGTGCATTTTATTTTATCCTTGCTCTTATTTTGTAGAATGTTATGTTCATTGTTCTTTAGTATGAATTTCTGTCGTTTATTGTTGCTTTTTAAATTGTTTGAAATTTATTTTAGTTTATTTGTTGTTTAGTGTCTAGACTGTACAATTCGTAGATGTTTTTTAAAGTTGAAACATAATGCTGTGTACATGGTTATTTGAAATTTATTGTTGTTATGTTATTTTATCAAAGCGAGGAGTGCGTAGATCGTAGATTCCTTCCTTGCCTAAATTGTGCAATTCGTAGAATTTTTTTAAGTTTAAACAGGATGCTGTGTACATGGTATTCTTGAAATTTATTGTTATTATGTTAATTTATTAAAGCGAGGTCTGCGTAGTTTTGTAGATTCGTTCGCTGCCTACATTGTGCAATTCGTAGATGTTTTTTTAAGTTAAAACATGTTGCTGTGTACATGGATTCTTGTCAAATATTTTTGGTTAGAAACTTTACGTTTTTGCTATCTAAATTTTTTGTTTTTGTTTCGAATTTTTAGCTAAATTGTGTGTTCAAAACATAGTTTTTGCAGACATTTTAGGCTAAAAGTTCAAAATGTAGACAAAAAATTTAGATAGCAATATGGCAGCGTGAAGTTTCTCGCCAAAAATATTTGGCGACTTGAGGGCGCATATCAGAGTAGTTCCCAAACTCCTTGACACGTTTTTCAGAATGACACATACACGGTAACCATGTGCACGTCGACCTATTTTTACTTAAAAAAACATCCCAGAATTGCACAAAAATGGCATTGCGCACACTCTTAACTCTATCCATGTACACTGCTTTTTTCTCATAAATTAAAAAATTGCAACGAAAATGCAGGAGGAAATTTGGTGAATCTTTAAAGTCGGTAAAAAGGAATATGAAATTACTGATCGCGAAAAAGTACTACCCTTTACAAGGATGAACATCTACATGATAAAATAAAAACATAATCCAAAACGTTTCCTCTAAATTATCTATTTAAATGGTCACTGCGAATTTATAACACAAACATTAAAAATGGTGCCAAATACTTAGTGTCAAATATTTAAATTATTTCCATGCACGTTTACTTCTACTGATACCTATTCCCAAATGCTACAAAATATAATCACAAAATAAATCATTTAATTAAAATATAATTAAATTAAAAACACTACTTAAAATATAAATAAACACCTAATTAATTAAAAAAATTAACTAAAATCTTAATTACTTTAAACTAATTCCTTTGCTAATAAAAATTTTCCAACAATAGCATATAATTTATTTATTTTATTCCTTATATTTAGAACAATGCATAAAAATAACATCCTCAAATGATTAAAAATACTAACTTACCTAATCTTCTACAGAATCTTGAGTGCATGGCGGAACACAAAATGTCCATTTTCCACCAGATTTCTTGCACCGCATTCAAACTTATCTGTAATATCCTTCCTTTCACACAATCTCATTTCATACCCACACACACACAATGAAGCTAAAATACAAAATCTAAACACAATAAAATTTCGATTCACTTTGCATAGGGCCATGGGATGCAAAAATTAAGCAACACTTTTTCACAAAACACACAATGAAGCTAAATACAAAATACTTAAAAGTACTGCAGATATTTTTCCAGATTTCCCCCCTTTTATGATTAAAGAACTGTGATTCGTCCATAAATGTCACATGACATATCTCATGATCTCTCATTTCTCTCACACAAAATAATGCGTAATTGGAACTGCGAACTTCTCACATTATTGCCAAAGTCCTAGATAGTTACCTTTATAGTCAACCAAAATGTCGCCAAACTGCCTGTTTCCATATTCCAAAGATTAGCCCACAAACCTGTGTCAAAACTACTAAAATCATTTGGCACAGTAAAAATAGCTAAAATAAACGTAACAATAAGTCACATTATTAGAAATGTTATGAGATTATCAGATTAAGTATTAAATTTTAAAAATCAGTTAGTCATCTTTAAATGCCCAGTTAAAAGTTTTTCTTGCCAGATAAACCACCACCAAATCATTTGTTAACACTTAGCACATCTACAATTAGACAATATTATTTTTCATTCATTTTACATTTCCTGACGTATATATATATAAAATGTTAAAGTGGTTGATCTTTACATTATGGTAACTTGGCGATTTTTTGGCGACCAACTCTCCTACAGCAATCCTCTATTTTTTTTTCCCCGCCGCCATTTTGTCTTCACGAAGTAAAGACATGTTTTTTTCTTTTATTACTGAACACTTCTTCCAACAATCTATAGCCGAATTACACTTATGCAAAAATTTATCTAACAAAACTGCTTAATCATGACAAATATCACTGCAAATTGTGAAAAAGTGCACAATACCATACCATACGCGTTTTCAAAATAACATACACATAAACCATGCCACGTCGACTTATTTTACTTAGCAATCCTGAATTAACAAAAACATGGCAGTGCGCAACTCTCACTATATCCATGTACACTGCTTTTTTCTCATAAATTAGAAAAATTCACGAAAATGCATGAAATACTCAACGTATACTACTCAAATATATTCCAAAATACTACAACAGATAACTCACAAAATCCCGATCATTAAATTAAAATATAATTAAATTAAAAAACACTTAAAAATAAATAAGCACATACTTAAATTAATAAAATTAGATTACAATCTTAATACTTTAAACTAAATCATTGCTAATAACAATTTTCAATAATACCATTTTAATTTATTTACTCCTTACATTTAGAACAATGCTAAAAATAATATCCTCAAATGATTAAAAATACTAACTTACTAATCTTCTTCAGAATTCATTCATTACGTCGCTGCAGTACTACTGCTAATTTCTAATCCTAATCCAGTGTCAACTAGATTCTATTCCAAGTATAAGAAATTAATAAAATTTCACCTATACTCAAACTACGTTCAGCAAACTAAGTACCCTTCCTTACACTCCTTTCACAAAATGCCATTTTCACCATATTTCTTGCACGCCATTTAAACTTGTAATATCCTTCCTTTCACACCAATCTCAATTATTTAATCAGATAAACGCATTAAAATTTAGAATCACTTTACAAAGCGCCATGCAATCCGAAATTAATCAAACTATTTCACACAACACACATGAAGCTTTCCAAATTAACCCCTTTTCCGATTAAAGAACTGTAATTCGTCTATTAATGTCACTTTCACACAACACACAATGAACCTAAATAGAAAATGCTATAAAGAACTGCAGATATTTTTTCAAATTTTCCCCCTTTTCCGATTAAACAACTGATTCGTCCATAAATGTCACATGATATATCTCATGATCTCTCATTTCTCTCACCCAAAATAATGCGTAATTGGAATTGGATACTTCTCACATTATTCCCCAAGTCCTAGGTAGTAACCTTTATCGCCTAGCAAAATGTCGCCAAACTGCTTGTTACCATATTCCAAAGATTAAACCAAAAAAATATACAATCTCAATAAATCAAACAATGAAATAACATAAAAATCATGGTAAAATCCTAGTATACGGTGAGCCTGGCGCGATTTTGAAAATTATCGCAACACCAAAAATCACAAAGAACGTCTATGTTATATCGTGATATATACTATACACTAATACTATCACTATATACATAGTATATACTATGTATAACTATATATATTCTTTGAATACCTGTTTACTACTCATCGTATATGTCCCGTTTTTACTGCTCATCACAAAAGTCGCCAAATCGAGTGTGTACCGGATACTAGGATTAAACCAAAATCATTTAGTGGTACATACTTTTTGTCAAGTTTATATCCTGCTAGCTATATAAAATGACTGAAAGTTAAAATATACAGAGAATTATATACTTAGTATTACAGTAATTAATCACAATCCAGTTTTAATTGGTTTTATGGATTGCGAGGGAAAATTTATAAGGGTTTTGAGGAAGAAATTAAGGCGGCATGTCTTGAATGAACGAATATATAATAAAGAATTTAATACGAAAAATTAATAATGTAGTATAATTAATATTACAAAAGTTGAGAAAGATATTCTCTTTAGAATCAAACCCTGATTTAATTTTCTTTCTACATATATGCCAAACAATCCAGTATTTCCATCAGAGCTCCTTTCCCCGTGGATGAGCAGCTGTATGTGTTTTTCGGATGTCAACTAAAATAAGCCATTACATTTCAAAAGTTACACAGCTATCTGCATAAAAAATTTCGGCAGTTTTTAGGTAATCAAAGGTAATCTCATTTTAGGTAGGTAGATAATCATCTATGAGTGCTTCGCTATAGTTAATTAACCGATTTAATATACAGAACTGTCTTTACGTAACACAACCGGCATCTTTTTATTAAATAAACAGTACATAAAAGTTATTTGAATACCTCTTTCTTATAAAATAAATGAAATGATAATAAAAAATTTATAACTGACATAAAAATTAAGAAAATATTTAATATTACTGACCCAAGCATGACGAAATTTCTTTTTAAACCCTGTACACCAGCGTTAAAAATCAGATTTTGTTTTTCTCCGTACAAGAGATCTTTCTGCCCGTTAAAATAAAAAAGTTTTGTCTTTTTTTGAGGCTGTATTTTTATGGCCGATGCTATTCGCATCACCGGTGCGATTAGACGCTTAAACGGAAATCGGCGTAAAATGCTGGTACCTGGGCTGCTTGTGCGCATGCGCGAAAGTAGGTGATGTGAATAGCCTGTTAGCTATTCGCACCGTCGGTGCGATTAGCCACTGCGGTATTTTTATATCATAGTTCGCGATTCATACAACAGTATGGTTTTTAGTTTGTTATTTATAATAATTTTTATAAAAATACCCGGTTCAAGAAGAGAATATTTTTATAGAAAATTTCTAAGAGAAACACTTCGTATTTATGCCATACGAGATAAAATGTAAGAAAACTTAACTTGATACTAAAAATGCTGATCTAGATTTTGATCTGAACAAAATAAACACGGAAGCAGTTTTTATTTTCCTTAGGATTTACTAATAACATAATCAATCAAAAATAGAATATGTATGAAATAAACCAATAAATAACAAGAAAAAGTAAATAAATGGTAAAAAAAAAAAGAGAGTAAATAATGGCAGACTTTTTCTAAGACTAAAGAATCGGCTAAATTAATATATTTAAGGATAATTTTTCTTTTATTTCTTATATATAAGGTTCTCTTTCTTTCTACATCTCTTTAGTCTAGCTACGTCAACCGGTATACTTCGATAGTTATAAGGTTTAAAATCCTGGCAAAATATTTTTGCTCTTGCCATATAATCCGAAGGAGTCCAGTAAAGTGTCTGACAGCATGAGAAGTCCGAAAAGTGTAAGTTCTGTTCTGAGATGGAACTGAGGATGTATTTCAACCAGAAGAAAAGGCCTTCTTTTCTGCTCTACCTCCGAGGCAGGGACCGCCCATTACCATCCGCCCCGCCTTTGGACATTCCGACGGCAGCGGCCTCTTCTGTTCGAAACCTTCACTATGGCATGATGCAAAATTATATGGACAGGTCATATGTGATGGGAAAGAGGCCAGATCTATATACTGGTCTTAGCTATATTTTTCTATTGATATTCATAACTGTGACTCTCTTCCCATGCGTTGCGTAATTTTTAATCAATCCTTGCATCGTGGAATCGTAGGAACTAAAGTTCCGCCTTACATCATTTCTCTATGAAATGGATTTTGTAATGATAGTATGTCCTCATTTCGGCTGAATAAATCTGGCGCATTTTCGATCAGTTATGCGCCTTGAAAATTGGAACAAAGTCATATTTAAATAATATAAGCTGCAATAAATCATTGTTTACGTCATGGACTTTGATGACTATGAACATTTGCCCAATTCATCTATGAGTACTCACATGGTTGCTGGAGCATTCGCGGGAATCATGGAACATTGTGTTATGTATCCGCTTGATTCCGTGAAAGTAAGTAGGGATACTTTGATTTATTTTTCAATATAAATTCGTTCGAGATGATATTTTTTTTTTTAATGTAGTGCATTAAAATTGATAGACATATGCTTAAGAATTAATTTAGTTTTCAAACTCTTCAAGTAAATATGTTCATTAAAAAAATATATATATAATCTCAATAAACTGCAATTTAAATCAATCAATGAAGTAACATAAAAAGGGAAATGCATGTTATCTCCTATATGCACTACCAAAAGGAAATATCAATTTACCTTATTTAGAAATATTTGTGTCTTCAGTCTGTGGCACACAAAATTCCTTTCCTTAACGGCATCCAAAAACTTTCTAAAATTATCTGACCTAGAATCTGCATACTGCCGTCGCCACATAAATTCACAAAAATAAGTGTAAGAAATATCTTCCGTAGTGCTGGACTGTCGGTGGCATTTTTTTCCAAAAATCCCTTCTTGTTACATTCTGCATAACTTCGATAGTGTTGATGTGAGCTCTGGTTTCCAGATCCTTAAATGTCAACACGTGATTTATTGAGAAGTAATTGAAGCCAGAAAGACAATTGTACGACTTCCAGCAGCTGGATATGATCATTGTTCCAGGTAAAATATTCCATTGAATTGCATTTAATAAAGTTTGTTTTCTTCTGTCCTCAGCCACTTCAAAACAAACGCCTTTCGCTCTCTCATTCTATATAGTTCGACCGCCTCATCCGCGACCATGAGCGCAAACACGCATACACCATTCAGACCAAATTATTCTCAAAATAGGGTGGAAGGATGGGGATTTTCTTTTCCTCCAGCATAGCTCTTTCCAGAGAAGAGAAGACCTTTTATGTCGCAGCAAGTAATACTGCCCCTTTTGGATGAGTCTATGTGTTAAGCCAATCAGGGTTGTGCTTCAACAGCTGGCAGTCATTTTACAATGTAAAGCACAAAATATGCAATGTACTTCCTAACTGACATCCAACACAGAAATAAGCCCTTACAAATATTTTTTGATCAGTCTAATTCACCGCAATCATGCAACCAATCATGTCGTGATAGGGTTTCCATAATGCTTAACTACTTAGGTTACTATAAATGAAACAGCAGTTTGGCAATAAATGAAACAACTTCTTGATAAATAAAACTTCTCGATAATCCAAGGGGCACTCTAAAATATAGACTAACCATAAAATCTATCATAAGCAATATTATATTTAAAGGAAAGTCAAAATTTAATATATTTGGGGTCATGCACTGGACCAGATCTCTGGAATAAATGTCGCATTTAATTCCATATTGAATGTACATTAGCCACTGCATACAACGAACATCTGCCTTTGCCAATGCCATTTTCATCGTTCGAGGTCACAGCAGGGGCGAACTGGAGAAAAACTGCAACAAGGTTATCTTGATATTTGACAACCTCTGTACTGAAAACACCTTAAAACATCATAGGATAAATCTAAATACATAATAGTTCACAAGCCCAAATAAACTATGATAAGGAACCCACGCATCAAGCATAGAGGAGCTACAGTCAAGAAGGTCGAGTTAAAACTCCTTGGATGAAAACTTCACTTGGATTCCTCATTTGAAAGCCCAAAGTGTCAAAGCCACAGGAATAGTGACTTTTGTGAAGAAATTAAGTTTATTTAATAGCATCCAATGACCTTTCATCCTTGCTATTATGAAAACATCTTATTTTAGTTGTTTAACTTAATTAAATATTTTTACTTAAAATATTTAATTAAGTTAAATATTTTAAGTAAAAATATTTAATTAAGTTAAACAACTAAAATAAGTTATAATTAAATAATTAATTTTTGCATGAAATTTTTTTCAATACATTGTATATGGAATTATGAACATGATATCAGATGAAATTATTAATGTTGAAAAATAATTTTTTCAGACTCGTATGCAATCTCTAAAACCAAGTCCTGAAGCAAAATATCGTAGTATAACAGAGGCCTTATTCAAAATGATTCGTAATGAAGGCGTACTGCGTCCTGTTCGTGGCATGTCTGCTGTTGTTGTTGGTGCGGGTCCTGCACATGCATTATATTTTTCAACATATGAAAAAATGAAACGTTTTCTTAGTGGTACTCCACATGGTAATGGGAATGCATTAACACAAGGTAAAAGATCATTTTTCTTTGTTCATCTTATTTTACTTTTATTTTTTATAACTGTTGATAAGAAGTTTAATATTTAATGGAGTAGCCTTGTTCCTGTAATATGCTAGTGTCAGTGGTACTTATGTGTTAGTGCAACCACCTTAGTAGAAGTTGCCAAGTTTTTAGAATATGGATGTATATAATTAATAATTTTTGGCTATTATAAATCATTTTGGAAGTACTCTTATATACGCCCTCGCTTGGCGACACATTTCTTGCCAAATATTTTTGGCAAAAAACTCCATGGTGCCATATTACTATCTAAATTTTTTGTATACATTTCGAATTTTAAGCCTAAAATGTTTCCGAAAACGTGGTTTTCGCAGATGCACATTTTGAGCACACAATTTAATCTGAATCTGAAACAAAAACAAACAATTTAGCTAGCAAAAACGTAAAGTTTCTAACCAAAAATATTTGACAAGAATCCATGTATGCAGCGATATATTTACTTGAAAAAAAAAAAAAAACTATGAATTGCACAATCTAGGCAGCGAAAGAATTCATGAACTATGCACACTTTGCTTTAATAAATTAACATAACAATAAATTTCAAAGAATACCATGTACACAGCATTCTGTTTAAATTAAAAAAAATAATCTACGAATTGCACAATCTAGGCATTGTGCACAAATCAACAAAATAAACTAAAATAAATTATAAACAATTCAGAAAACAACAATAACAACAAATTTATAGTAAAAATACAATGAATATTACATTGTACAAAATAAATGCTTTTGCCATAATGGGTGCTTCTTCAGACAGACCTGTGGTGCAGCTGCGTGACATGCTAGCCACTTGTTTATAAACACAGAATTATTAAATTGGCCTAAAAATTTTTATTTCCATGGCAAAATAACTTGATTCTTGGGTAAATAAATTCCTGAATATTATTGTAGGTGTTAATTATTTGTAATCATTCCATTTATCAGCATAATAAAGAGTAAATTAAACTTTATTGCAGAAGTTGAATTTGACAAATTCTGTATTATTTTTTAATATCTTCATATTAATCACAAAATGGTGTTTGGGGTATAGCCTTTCTGAAAGGTATGAGTTGCATATTTAAATAAAAAAAATTGTCGGCTGATCTTTAGAATATGGTAACTGGTAGTTTGGCGACATTTTGGAGGCGATAAAGGTTTGGACTGGTAATAATGTGAGCAGTACTGAGTTCCGATTACGCATTATTTTGTGTGAGGGAAATGAGAGATCATGGGATATGTCATGTGATATTAATGGACGAATTACGGTTCTTTAATCGGAAAAGGGGGGAAATCGGGAAAAAAATCTGGAAATTTTGTATTTGGCTTTATTCTGTGTTGTGTGAAACAGTGTTCGTTAATTTTTTAATCCCATAGCCCTAACTAAAGTGAATTCGAAATGGGTATTTAGTGGGATTGAAAGGGGTAGTAATAAGTGTTTTTTTAAGGTTGTGCGAGATAGAAGTAGATGTTTTATTAAGTTATTTATTTTACCTGGTGCCTTGCTGTGAACTATAAGTATGATTTTAAAGATCCTGAAACAGAAATAAGAAAAGTTTATCGGACACGTAATCAAGATTCTGAAGAAGATTAGGTAAGTTAGTATTTTTAATTATTTGAGGATATTATTTTTATGCATTGTTCTAAATGTAAGGTGGAAGTAAAGTAATTTGCGTAAACGTGCATGGAAATAATTTAAATATTTGACACTAAGTATTTCTAATGTTTGCGGTATGAATTCGTTGGTGACGTTTATAATATAATAGATAATTTAGAGGTAAAAGTTTTTGGATATTTTATTTATTTTATACGTGGAAATGTTCATATTTGGAAAGGGTATATACTTTTTCGCGATCAGATAATTTCATATATGTTCTTTTTACCGGGTTTAAAGATTAAAAAAATTGTCATGTATTTTCGTGAAATTTTTCTAATTTATGAGAAAAAAGCAATGTACATGGATATAGTGAACAGTGTGTGCAATGCCATTTTTGTGCAATTCTGGGATGTTTTTTTAAGTAACAATAAGTCGACGTGTACATGTTTTATGTATGTGTTATTTTGAAAAACGCGTAAGGAGTATGGTATTGTGCACTTTTTCCCAATTTTGCAGTGAATATTTGTCATGATTAAGCAGTTTTGTTAGATAAAATTTCTAGCATAAGTGTAATTCGGCTAGTAGGTTGTTGGAAGAAGTGTTCAACAGATAAAAAGAAAAGAAACATGTTTTTACTTCGTGAAGACAAAATGGCGGCGGGGGAAAAAAAAATAGAGGGTTGCTGTAGAAGAGTTGGTTGACAAATTTTCGCCAAAAAATCGCCAAGTTACCATAATGTAGAGATCAACCAAATTGTCTTTCAGGTTAGAAGACAGTAATACAGAACAAGATTACATAACCTTTTTTGTATGAAAACATAAACCTTAAACATGAATTGTGAAATTAAGCTTATATTTTACTTCATGTTTTATTATAATTAAAAGTAGAAATATTAGAAATGGGCTATAAAATTAAATGCCATATGTTACACACAAATATCTATGCAGTTTTCACCATGCTGTAGTTTTTATTACTGAGATTAGTCAGATCTGTCCACAGGCTAGATATAATGATCTGCAGAACTTTGGTAAGATATAATCCATTACATGGGATCTTAATTTTGTTTCTTGAAATCAACTAATATTAATATATCTCAAGTGATGAATATAAATCTTAAATGATGATTATATCTCAAATAATGAAATGAATTGATGGTATATTTTGAGGCATTTATACTAGACTATGAAAGAATATGTTTAGGTAGGAGGGAGTGGGATACCAGAATTTCACCATTGGTTGTACAAGTATACTCCCACTGTACTAACTATTTTGCTAGCTGTACAGTTCTGTCTCAATTTTGATGGGGAATAGATCTGCGGGCACTCTGGGGAATAGATCTATGGGTTTCCCCAGAGTGCCCATGGATAATTTGGTTAGATGGTAGATGCCTTTGTCTCCCTAATCACCAAACCACCAAAAGATAATTTTTGGCAAGTTATTTTAAGTGCCCCCATGATGCATAGAGATGGCATACTTACAAATATCCATGTCTTTCTGATATCCAAACTTGAGGCCCATTAATACAGGAGCTGACATCACTAACCACTACACTGATAAGGGGAGTGCAAAGAATTAACACCAGTCTAATGTTATCAGGATGATGATATGGTGAAGATGTATCCATATTTGACGGATAAAACGTTCATAGAATAGAACAGTCAGCTGCAAAAGTTTGTGTACCTGTCCTCAGTGTACAGATTGTCAACTGACATTTCTATATCATCTTAAACCAAAAGTTTTGGTATACCTTATAGAACCAGACAGCACTTTTACTCCAACACTTCATAAAACAGCTTTTCAAGAAATCTCTGTTTCTAGAAATTTTATGTAGTTAGGCCTCAGGATCCTTTCTTCTGTGTGGTAGACTTATATGAATCATTGAGTTAAATATATTTTCACTAACATCACAAAAATTTATGCATAGAAGCCTGCTATTCAACTTATTTCAAGGAGCATGTGTTTCTATGGAAGTGTGCGTATCGTATTTTGCATTCATTAGTGCAATGCATGTTTAATATCAAAGTACCTTTATTTATTATATAGCAAAATTTGCATTATTTGCAAATTTTACTGTAGATATGTATTATTTTTTTCAGTACTCTGTTCATTTCACATTGTAAGGATCTTAAGTTTTACTAACGTTTATTTTATTTTAAATCTTTACTATCACTTCTTATTTTCTACTTCCGGCCAGAATTATAAGCGTTAAGGTTATTTATGCAAAGTTTGTCTGGCGAACGCCAAGTTTAAGTTGTGGCTTTTTGCCAAGCGAGAGAGAGAGGAAGCAGTGAGTAGTCGAAGCAGGCCGCTTACCTTAGAAGTTTTACTCAGTTGCTGGTTGCCTTCCAGGCCAGAGGTTTTAATCCTCTTGATAAATTTAAACGTATTGTAGTGTTCACAGTTCTGTACTACATACGGCTTCCTGTTAATATAAGGCCAATCTTCCACGTTATATTATTCTAAAGTTAAATTAGAGTTTAGTTTTTATTTTTTATATTTTTACGTTAGACCACAAGTAGCGGGTCTCAGTGTATTCCGAAGTACGGAAAGTTATTGTAAATAGAGAAAAATAAAGGGTTTTGTATACCCTTCTTGTGTATCCTGTCTACTTCCCACAATTATTGAACATAGCTTTAGTAAGCTCTCTGTTCCGAGTCAGGTCCTTGCATGTTCCCGAAGAAGGTAAGAAGGAACATTGAACCTGATAGTGGCGCCCAACAAAGAAATATAACCATGGCCGAGTTTCAAGAAGAACCTGTGCTGCCTGCAGAAGCGGCTCAGAATCCAGAAATGCCAGCTGCCGCCCTGGAAGGATTTGGTTACATCGTCCAGACCATGCGCGCTTCGATGAAACCAGAAGCAACATTTAATGGAAACTCACCGGTAACCAGTTTTTTGGAAAAATTGGATGACCACTTCATGCTCTACCCCGTGCACGAATTTCAAAAAGTTACCTTAGCTACCAGCGCTTTGAGGGGCCAAGCGCTTAACTGGTTCAAATGTATAGGCAGAAGTCTCTTGGGTCAAGCAGGAAGTCCCACCTATACTTACGAAAATTTCAAGACTGCCCTACTAAAAGCCTTCCCTGTTGTAAGGGATCGTGCGAAATTAGAAACGGAACTTTTCAGTATATATCAACAAAGAATCGAAAAAATCTCTCAAGCTTTATTTTAAGAAAAATTCACGTTTTCAAACTCTTGTATGGAAACCGTCCGGATCCTGAAATAATTCAAGTGATTTTGCCGAGGTTACTGCCCCAAGTGCAAGACTTTATTGAATTAAGAAAAATCCGACTACACTGGAAAAGTTATTTGAGCTAGCAATCCAGTTTGAAAGTAGAAGAACGGCGGACATTGAAAGAAGAACGCCAATATCA